AGAATGGAATTGCGTATAGATTCAACCCATAACTGAATATCATGTTTGCAACTACAGGGAATCGTGATCAAATGTTTCCAGAGATGATGCGATTGGCTGGCTGACTGGGGGCTATTACTGCTCTCTCGAGACAAAGGTCACTTCTTGAAGGACCTTAAAAGTTAAAAAAAAATGTATTTGCTGCTTGTTTGGTTCCGTGTTCGGCTTAGTTTTCAAACCCGGAAGATGGAGTCAGGATGTTCCTCCGAATGCCTACGCGTCACAGGGTGAACATTAGATCTCACAGGACTTACAGGCAGGTTGTGGGTTCGTATCCTGGCCTGCTTGGAATATCCGTGTTAACATGAAAATAAATGTATTTGTTGTAGTGCGTGTAAATTTCTGATAAAGTGTCGTGGGTTTGTGCCAACACAGGGATTTGAATTGTGTAAACGCATAGTTTATGCTTATGGTTAAAGAGGCAGCACTGCATAAAGGCGTGTGGTAGAAGGAGGTATGGCTCCACAAGTTCCTAACCTGGACAGTAGAAATAATATAGAGTTTCACTTGTACAACAGCAGAATTACCCTGTATCTTTAAAACTTAATACTGGATTTGAGTAGTTCACGCTTGGAACGCTTTACCCCCAGGAAACGAGCCCTTGGTACCCGTTGTGTAGGAACCTGGGTCGCAAAGAGACTGGGCACTATATAGAAGAGAAAGTTGTATTTCATCTTGACTGGGATTGAACCCCCGACTCCTCGGCCAACAAATCTGAGTTCAGATTTGAACGGCGTGTGAGTGTTCAGATTTTTGTTTTGCGGTTTGTGGCACCGTGTTTTAAGATGTTTCGGAAGAACATACTGCTTCCATCTTCATGATTGATCTTGTAAATGAAATTTGTCGTATGCAACACAGTTTCCTTCCGTCACCATATTTGTGAGTTTTAAAGACACATTTCATATCAGATTTGTTGGTACGTTTGTCGCTTTTTTATTGCGAAATTACACGTTCGTGTATGGGTGTGAAGCTTGGTCTCTGACATTAAGGGAGGAACATAGACTGAGGGTGTTTGAGAACAGGGTGTTGAGAAGAATATTTGGACCGAAGAGAGATGAAGTGACAGGAGGTTGGAGAAAACTGCATAGTGAGGAGCTTCATGACTTGTACTCTTCTCCAAGTATAATTAGAATGATCAAGTCAAGGATGAGATGGGCAGGCCATTTAGCAGCACGGGGCAGATTGGTGGGAAAGCTAGAAAGGTAGAGACTACTAGGAAGACAAATGTTGAAGTGTATCTTGGATAGATAGGATGGGGTGGTATGGACTGGAATAAACTGGCTGAGGATAGGGATTAGTGTAGAGCTCTTGTGAACGCGGTAATGAACCTTCGGGTTCCATAAAATGCTGGGAAGTTTTTGAGTAGATGCACAATTGGTGGCTTTTCAAGAAGGGCTCAGCTCCATGAAGTTTAGACAGTGATGGTGGAGAGGTCTATTTGCGGAGAAGTTGACTGTACAGACAGCCAAAACTAAAATTCCCATTTGTTCATGATGAAGGCTCCGCAAAGAACTCGCCTTTTGTGTGGGCACATCGAGGCTCGAACCCGAACTCCTCTTTCCTTTTGTGTAATTAGACTGTAGAAACTGGGATGTGCTGATTGTTAGGATTGGTCTTCCTTGATGGATAAAGCATTGTGATTGGTCGAAGAAAACTTCGAAGGAAAGGGGAGACTAGTGTAGGCACGTGATCCCTGCCACAGTTCATGGTTTTGTAAAGAGAAATAATAATAATAAGAAAACACTCGTTCACCTTGAACGCGTTCCCCGTACAGAACACCGCCACTCTGTGAATCATTGAGACGAAACAAAAGAAATACGAGATCTGACTTGCACTGCGACTTGCGAAGTTATCCTGTTACCAATACAGCGAGTTAGTGTAGCCCATCTCAGATAGAAGTAGCGATGAATTGCGGGTTGCAGTGGCAACGAGGGTTACCTTACCCTGGGGGAACAAGACCCTGGAGAACCCAAGTGATGAGAATATTTCGACCTAAGAGAGAACGTAAATATTAAAATATCTGTGTATAAAACTCTACAGCGTTTGTGGACCTTGGCCGATATTCCAGTTTCTTAATCTACACACAGTCGGTACGAATGCTTGTTCCGGAGATCAGCCCGTCTCAAGGCCTGCTACCTACACACAGAACAACACAAACACGGAATAAACGCACAGAGACATCCATGCCTCGAATGGTATTCGAACCCACGAACCCAGTGTTGGAGCGGGCGAAGACGGTTCACATCTTAGACCGCGCGGCCACTGTGGCCGGCAAATATTAAAAATACGAAACAGTAATTTTTCCTGTAGTTTTGTATGGGCGTGTAACTTTGTCTCTGACATAGCAGTGCAGTATTTAAGGTTCTCACAGTCGTGATTATGAAGAGTATACCATCTTCTGGGTTATAACGCCAGTGACTTTCGACGGACTACACACTTCCAGCTGCACTATGGCCTAGGGGTCGACTTAGCCCCTAACAGAAATCAGTACCAGGAATTCATCCTGGGAGTAAAGGACGGCGACGCATAATGCTGACAACCTCAACGCCATCGGTGAGCCGATTGTCTAGACAAATATGGGAGCCTCGGCGTTCCACAACCTTATGGGCCTCCACGGCCTGTTACAGGGGTAGCTTTACCTTTAACAGCGTTATGAGAGGGATGAAATTGTGTGAGGTTGGAGAGTGGGGCCCCTCAATTTTTAAGATGGCAACTGCTGATGTAGATTAATTCAGTGTTGCATGTACCGAATGTGTAGGAGCAGAGTCACGTGGGAGTCAATCACAGTGGCCGCGCGGTCTAAGGCATGAACTTTCTTCGCCCGCTCAAACACTGGGATCGTGGGTTGGAATCCCGCCTGTGCGCTTATTTTGTGTCTGTCCTGTATGCAGGTAGCGGTCTTGCGACGGGCTGATCCCCCGTCCAATGAGCCCTACCGTGTAAGAAGATCAACAAACTGAAAAGCGGCCAACGTCCAACGAAAGACTGTAGAGCCATAGATAGACTGATCGGTCACCCGGGGAATATGTTTACTGTGTTAACTTAGTTGGTATTAAGATTAGTATAAAGATTTTGTGATTACTGACTCTGTAGTCATTTCAAAATGCCTTTTTATATTTATTGTTGATCTCTCCAAATTCCTGGACACGACGTAGAAAAGTCGGTTGGTGTGTATCCAGTACAGCTTTTATTGTGGGATTTTTTACGACGCCGTGTTAGGTTACGTAGCATCGAATGTTGATTGATGAATAATTAATTTAAAGGGATTCTGAGGAAATCGGTTGCGGCACAGTTGTGTTCCTGTACCGGAATTTGCCAGGAGGTGTTGAAGAAATCCACGATATAGTGAGAATATCCGGTGTCCCCGGTTGAGATTCGAACCGAGAACGTACACCTTTCGTTCCAGCGCATCTGATCCTCCGATAAGACAAGAGATAGTCTTTGAGGTTATAAGGAGTTCGAGACGTGTTCCTCCGAAGCGTCTGTTAACTTTCAACGGACCACATTGCGTTATATCTCGGCTTGTCGATTGGTTCCCTGCACTGCTTCAGAGACCCGACAGATGCCTGTAAGAAAACAAATCATGACAGCCTTCGTGTATCATTTTTCCTTGATCTTGTCTCATGACTCCCAAGTTCACGCCTCTGTCTCTCTGGAAGCAAAAGGACAGAGAGAGATAGTAACGCTGGAATAGGCTTACAGCCAGAGATCACTCAGTCACCGTGACTGCACGATTGGACGCCAACCAACTGGACGGCCTTCGGTACCTTTACACGGAGCCAGATAGTTTTACAGAGCATCCACTGTTCATTTCGGTTGTCATGGTTAGCTTCAAACACACGAGTTATGTGCAATGCACAGCGTCAAGGTTTCGTTTAACTGCCTCGCAAAACCGCAAGATAAAAAAAAATAAAAATGCATTGTTATGAAGTGTGTGTTTCACTTATTTTCTACAACTGATTTTAGATTATTCCTCTCTGCTTACTTATTTAGCGAGTCATGCCATGACACAGTTAACAGAATTCCGCCTTTGTTATCATCGCTAAGCTTCTTTTGCCTCATGTAACTCGACAAATGCGGAATGTATTTTAATTATATTTATATAAATATAAAGCTACCCCTGTAACAGGCCATTGAGGCCCATAGGGCTGTGAGACGCTCCCCCACGTTTTCCAACGGCTCACAGATGGTGGTGAGGTTGTCAGCCTTACGCGCCGGCAGGCCGCCCTTTACCGCCAGGAAGATTCCTGGTACCCATTTCTCTTAGAGGGTGAGTTGACTCCAGGGCTGGGATGCGGTTGGAAGGATTAGGTCAATTGAAAAATCCATTGACCCCATCGGGATTCGAACCCGCGATACTCATCTAGAGTTTTACTGAACGTAACCAACGCATTTCGATTTGGGTCTAAATCAGGCAATAGTAACGGATGTTTGATATGATGATGATACAGAGGTAACGTTGTAGGACTTGTATTCTGCAGGTACTCGGTTCTGATCTCGCCTGGGTCACCGGTTCTCCCGACTGAGATTCTTCATGGTTTTGTCCAGTCCATCCAGGCAAATTTTCGAATAGTACCTCGTTTGGGTCACGCCCACTTCCGTCCAAATCCTTTCCAGTTCACGGTTCCTGAATCATCCTACAACCCGACGCTGTATAGTTTCGGTACTGTAACTCGACACATAACTAACCACTTCTGCTGCTGCTGCTACTGCTTGTGTTATTGCGGACATCACGAGCGTAACTCGCCACATATTTATCAAAGCGAAAAATATTTTGAATTCCCATTGTAAAGAAGACCCCCTCCCCAATAAAATCATGACTATGTTCCCGTGGGTACAGACAGTAAAATGTGATTCTTCAGAACGTGTCAAGTACACTTCGCAAACAGTTCTTAACTCCTGACGTGCTGTGGTGCCAAGGTGTTTTGAGTTTGTTGATAGAACTTTCTTGTTTGTTTCAGATGACAACCGAATCGAACAGAGCGTCCTTGTGAACTGTCGGTGTTCTCGCTGTGATCACAATCTTTACAACGACGTCAGCACTGCCGGATACTCGTCCCGACGCTGCTCTTCTGCGGAGGTGGCGTCACAATGCATCGTCGACGTCGGTAATAGTTATTTAAACGAAAACACAAGTAACAGAAACGAAAGCGTGAAACAAGTGTCCCCCACGCGTTTTTTGGACAATATAAACAATTCGTTTTGTGTTTCCGGGGGGGTAGAGGTGTCATGGACGTGAAACACGAATTAATTTACCGCGTGGGGGGCGGAGGGGGTGGTGTAAATAGCATCATGAAAGCGGGTCTGGGCGGCGCTAGTGCAACTGGTGGCTGTTTGTCAGACGAACTGCTTCTGAGTAGTGTGAAGACTGAACCAAGGGTACACAGCCCATGTGACCCCAGTGCAGGGGTAACGGCGCCTAGTATTGAACTTGGCCACCACCTGGCGTCCAGCGCCACCGCCACCTCAGGAGTGACGCCAAGTAGCAGTGGCAGCGCCACAACGCCGAATGGAGGTTTGTTTAGTGGCATCACTTCAAGTAACAAACGACATCGAACCGATGACTGGTTACCATCGCCGTCCCCTGGTTCTGTGGGACCTTTACCACCTCTTACACCCTCGCCGGGACCTCCAGGACATCCCTACACCGTCATCTCTAACGGGTATTCGTCACCGTTGTCTTCAGGCAGCTACGATCCTTACAGCCCGAACGGAAAAATTGGTGAGTAAATGCTCGGCAGTATGCCGAGTCGCATTGTATACTTTGCACGAAGTAAGTCAAAGTGAACACGTGAGGAGGGCCCGCCTGTTTCACTTTCAAGACTGCTCAGCTGATATCCGTGAATTGGGGATAAAGGTAAAAATGTAAAGCTATCCCTGTAACAGGCCGTGAAGGTCCATAGGGCTTTGAGACGTCGAGACTCCCACATTTTCTAGACAGTCGGCTCACAGATGGCGGTGAGCTTGTCAGCCCTACGCACCGGCCGCCCTTTACCCCCAATAACATTACTTAATTAATTTCTGGTACTCATTTCTGTTAGAGGCTGAGTCGACCCCTGGGCCATAGTGAGGCTGGAAGGATTAGGTGAACTGAAAAAATTCAGTGACCTCGGGAATCGAACCCGCGATCTTCCGATTTGTAGCATAATACCTCAACCAACTACACTACTGCATGGGCTGTTGAATTAGGGATCTGTTCTAAAAGTTGCTGGGAAAAATTTATATGCTGGTGCATAAAACCCGAGTAAAATTTAATCTTTCTACTAACAGCGCATTCCGAAGTTTATATATATACAGAAATTTGCGGCTTTATTTTGTTGAGAAATCAGGAAGATGTATTAGACATGCATGAAACATTCCCAGGGCGGTTAGGGACGTGTGTCATAATAACACAAAAACTTCAGCCAACTGAGAGCGAGTTCCACTACTTCATACGGGCTTACGAAAATTTTTTCTCAGTTGTGCTTACTGCTGAATATTTGTCACGTGTGGGAGTGACGGGTTTTGGATTGGATGATTGGATTTATTGACACCTTACTTACACAACTCGGGACTACAGGCAGTACAGCACTGTCGCTGATGTTACAGTTCATCATTACACACCCACGGGGATTCTCAGTCTTCATTAGCCATATCCTGGCAACGGATGTCCAACGGTCCCACTGTCACTTCAAATCACACATGAAGTGTTCTTTTTACAGCCTCATTCATTTCTTGGCTTTCTTCTCAACCACCTTCGACTGCCATCTCCAGAACTTGACCCAGTTCTCGACAGAAACTGACTAAAATGAACTCTCTCAACTTCTGACAATTAACTCTTCTCAGCTGAACCCTTTTTTATAACCACTTTGCACGGACCACGCATTAAATACAGCCTCTGTTGGTAAGAAGGCGTGTTTACTGATCCGTTCCCTAGCAATAGACGTCTTATTGTTGCGCGCGTTGGCTCTCGCGGGAATGTGTTTAAAAGGTCGTTACCTGGCAGTGGGTTTATACATAATATTACTTACAGGTGGAAGAACCGGTCTCTTTTTCTGTTGCCGGCAGGTTTTAACAGCCATTTCAGTACGGAATGCAGTTTGATTAGATTTGCAGTTTTGAATGTTTAGTTTACAGTAATAAATTGCTTGACTGACAAACAGCGCGATGAAAATCAGTTTGACAGAATTAACATGAAGAAGTGTAATGGGTTTATTATGACAGATCTAACAAATTTCTGTACTATGCGAATATATCACAACAATTTTATAGGTAAATTTATCCCTGTAACAGGCCGTGGAGGCCCATACGGTTGTGAGACGTCGAGGCCCCACATATTCTACACAACAGATTCACAGATGGCGGTGAGGTTGGAAAGATTCCTGGTACTCATTTCTTTTAGGCCGAGTTGACTCCAGGGCCCCTGTGCGGCTGGAAGGATTAGGTGAATTAAATCTTCAGTGACCTCATCGGGAATCGAACCCGCGATTTTCCGGCTTGTAGCGCAGTGCCTCAACCAACCATGCTACCGCGTACACCCACAATGATTTTATACTTGTAATAAATAACCGACAAACCCAAATTGTCGATAGAATCAGTTTATTAAGATATTGTTTTTGCTATATATTTGTCATTTACAGCATCATCAGGCGTTTATAAACACAAAATGCACCCACGTTCAGTACTGGACTGCGTGTCGCAGTGAATCCATTGCTAAACAATTTTGTCATGTATAAATGTTTACATATGATTCTTATTTAAATATGCCGAAATACTTCTCTAAAATCAGTAAAGCTGATTTAAGATTATTTTTATTTGTCTAAAAATTATCCTGTTACATGCATAGGAGGTTTTATGGAAGGGAGGGAGTAAGGGAATGGTGCTAGCGGCCTCCGTATTCTAGAGGTAACGTTCCCACCTCATGACTCGTAGTACGCGGGTTCAAATACCCGGCGGAGGTCGTCGAATTTTTAAGGGCGGAAAAATTCAGGGAACAAGTCCTCCGGGAGGGACTTTAAGCCGTGGGTCCCGTGTCGTAGCTTTACGGCACGTAAAAAAAACCTCATACCTCCAATGGAGATCACTGAGCAAAATTGCGGACGTTTGCCTCCCAACAGCAGTCACTAATACCTCCGGTAGATGGGGGAAGCATTATAGATACCTCTCAGCTAGTAGAGCCGGTCTCGCTGGCTGGGCGGGACTGATGGTAAGCACCAATACCGGTAGGATATAGAGACTGGTAGACATCATAGAGGGAAGCGCAGTGGACTACTACAGGTCTAAGTGCATGGGGAAACCCACCCTCTCTAATAACTAACTAACTAAACTAAGGGAATGGTGCTTGTGACGAATATGACAGTTGCTAGGCAACGGCTCAGTAAACACGTTCCTGCGGGGACAAATTATTGGCAAAGAGTCCGTTGCTGGACGACGCAAACACATTTTCCATGGATACGGCGTTCTCAGTGTGTTTTCTATGTGGTCAGTGCCGAAGGGTTTTAGGAAACAACGATGGTCGTTTGCAGGCAGTCGTAGAACGAGAAGCAGAATAAAGAGAAGCCTCGGCGGTCGCTGTAATAACTATAATTGAAAAGAATTGCCTGTAAATCCAACAATCGAATCCGGAACCCGTTATTATTAGTCACGGAACCCCGGACACGTGGCAATATACATATGTGGCCTTGGGGATAAATTATATATGATAAGTCACAAATGGAAGTAAAACAGCTGTAATGGACGTAACAGGTTTTCTGTGTGTAGGTAGCGCAGTCCAGCTTCATGACAGTCAAGCTAGCAGCCGCGCATGCGAATGTTCAGAGGTTGGTTTCAGTAGTCAAAATGGCGACCGTTCTTTAGTATATACTACCGAAGAGCAGCGTTCTGGTATGCTCTTATGTGGGCAGAAAGGCTCATTGCAAATTATATTCATAAAGAAATGTTTCATGTTTACGGTGGAAAGTGTATGTCGCGTAAAGCCGTTCACAACTGGGTGGCAAACGTTTCGCTGATGACGAAGAGTTTGAAACGGATGCGCGGAAGTGGCCGACGCAACAGTCAAAAGACTTCTATGTACTGCGGGTTTCGACGCACTGGTAAAGCGATGGGTCACCTGTATCGGTGTTGGCGGAGGATATGTCGAAAAATAAAGTTTTTTTTTTTCAGGTTCGAATGTTCACATGTTTTACGTTTTATATCCATCTGTGACCTATTTACTGACTCTCCCTCGTACAGTAATGAGTCCACTCTGACTTCGTATAGAGTGGTAAAATAGTGTGCCCATTCTAATAAATATTGCAGCAAGGGTCAAAGTGTAGGGTAGGGAATGGGTTGGCGTTTTCTCCGAAACATTAAAATCTCTCTTACAAGACTACACGGTATCACAACTATCGGATCTTCGTTTAGCTTCTTTGATGATGTGCTGGTTTTCCCAAGCGCTACTAATGTGAACACATTTTTTTTTGTTCATTTCTTCTTATAGATTGTCAGTGGCCTTTTGTAAAAATATTTTGTTTGGCGGCATTTAATGAATAAGGCACTGAAAACCTTCAAAGACAGAGTTCTGTACCGAGCGGAACAAAAGCGCCCACATTACTGTCTGCAATTGTGTTCCCTTTCTCGACTGTTTTCTTCATACGAACAACAGCAGTATCCATGCTCTTTGAAATGCGATGCTTTTCTGTTTTGCCGTATGTCGCTACAGCCGTATCGAATAGATCAATACTATCCAGCCATTGGTCACAACTTTGCAGTTGCCGTGGTCCTGTTGGCCTCTCATCGTTCTGTGCAAAACGATGTATGCTTGTATGTCGTAAGGGCTTCAGACTGCTGCAGGCAGTTGGTAGGAGGTTACGTTTCCGACTTGTGCAATAAAGCACCAGAGGGATTGGGGGACATTATGAATGCGCATGCTCTGGTTGCTGATGATACTAATTTCGCGTCTGAAAACTGCAGACTGGCTGTCCTTACATCCATAAAGAGTGTTTATTTAGGAGAGGTCTTCGAAACCCGCGTTTTGCGGTTATCCGTGATATTAAAGTTTATGGTTAGAATGTACCAGTTAAGGAGGATGAGATGGACAGGGCATGTAGCACGAATGTGGCGAAGATGAATGCATGGAGGATATTGGTGGGACAGCCAGAAGGAGACCACTAAGAAGACTAACATGTAGATTTGAATAGTATTGTCACGTGTATGAGTGACTGCAGACGGGGTTTAGATTAGCAGTTAGGTTTATTGACCACTTATCGGAAGTACAAGTAACTAAAGCGCTGTCGTTAATTCACACGCTTTACAGTTCACTACAGCGGATACTTAAGTATTCTTGGTCTGTTATTTTCACCAGTAGTTGTCTGGTGATATCTTCAACGACCGATAGTCTTCTTACTCAGGGTTCCCGAACTGCTCCCGTGACTCAGCCACCAGCTTCTCTCAGCAGTAGCAACTTACTAGCACCAGCTCTTCACTTCCCTGTTCTACATTCTCACTAATTGTCCTGGTTATAACATCTTGGCACGGACTGCACAGAAAACACCATTTCTCTGTTGTTTACCAGCTGGCGTTGCTTACATAGTCATTACTTAGCAACAGGTCTACATGCAACAAAATTGGAATGGATGTCAGAGAGATAGGATGGGGTAGTAGGAACTGGATTGATGTGGCTTAGGATAAGGACCAGTGGAGGGCTCTTCTAAACGCGGTAATGAACCATCGGGTTCGATAAAATGTCGGGAAGTTCTTGAGCAG